ATCTTGGTCATCACAGAGGTGACAACGTTTCTGGGTTTTGATTCTTATTAGAGGATAAATGTAGATGTCTGCGGGCTACAGCATCCACTTACCATCACGTGGACTGTGTGCTCGTTTATCACCCTAATTCTACAAAAAAAATCATATTTATTTGCGAAGAAAGACGAACCTTTATAAAAGGTCAAATACAAAATGAATGATCATTATTGTGCAATTTCTATGCCCGGTTTTCTAATCCGAAACGCATTGAACGCTAAAACGAAACTTCTCAATATCAGACGAACAAAGTAATTACGTTCTCTGAATGGCACAATAGATCCCTATTAGAGTAACATTGGTACGGGACCCCAGGGTGCAATGAGAGTAATAAACCTAACCTAGTGTTGAACTGACAGAATCTCTGCCAAGACTGATTCACAGGCTTACGTAATATCTGATTGGAGTAAGGAAGGACTGGGTATTAGATAAATTACTCGGCTTAATTTTGGATTGCTTATTTCATGTTGTAGTTTTATTTACTTTAGTGGTGATTAAGATTTAATATCATTGCTACTACTGTAGATTGGATTATTTGATCGTAGAATATTTTTAAACCACTTTTTTAATATATAAATACGTTACCTTCACACTAGGAATTTTTCTTGTATCGTCCGTATCGGCCTTATTCATAGATAAATTGCAATATACAAATATTTGTAGGCCATAGCAAACAACCTTTTTTACTGGAAACGAGGCATTCAATCTTAGTCCTCACGGGTGAGAACGCAACTGCATTTTGATTTGTAATCGAGGATAGATGTAGATGTTTCTGGGCCACAGCAACCACTTACCATCAGGTGGAGTGTGCTTGCGTGCCGCCCTATCCTATTAAAAAAAATCTGTACACTCGAATATAAACTTGAAATTTAGCAACCATGATATGAAACTGAATGAAACTAGTTTATCGGATTATAAAGTGTTTTATTGAATTTAATTTTAGCTGGAAATTATAATACTTTAAATAAGATGAAATATAAACCAGAAATGTAAAACTGAAATATAAATGAATAAGTGATTTATAATAACCCCTCCCTGGGCATTCCAGATGATCGCTTCCAAGCTGTTTCTTAAATAAGCTTTAAGAAACAGCTCGGAATAAACTACTCACAGTTTGTACAACTTATACTTTGAAAAAAAAGTCCCGCTGGGTTTCTTGCTGGTTCTTCCCAGGACAGAGGTTTTTCCAAACCAGTGGTGAAAGTAAAATACTGACTTTCAATAAGAATGACTTGTAATCTACGTTGAATAAAAATATTTTATTCTATTCCATACTTCTGCACGACTTCAAGATAATATGTACTATAAGCTCATTTCAAGGTTTTTTTTTATTGTCACACCCATGTCCGATTACGCCATTATGTCTGATTTTCAACCTTTACTTATAGAAAATGCAGTAAGATAAGTAAATATGTATACTCTTTCGTTCGCTTATTTATACGTTTCTACGAAGATCGGACAAAACAATAAATATACATATAAATAACATAATAATGAAAACCCAGTTATACTTCTGTGTTTGTATTTATTTTATTTCATAAATCCATTAGTTTCCTTTCTCTTATTACACATTTCTTATATTTCACACAACCAATAAATTTATTGTAATTTGACAGACGTTCATTTCAATTGAATAAAGATCAAAACCAAATGAAAGGACGAAATCTACCCAATCGGGCGTCAAATTACCCAATAAACGTTTCATTTTAATTGCTTTATGTGGTGTCGGTACGATAATGACTTTTACGTCCGATTCTATTAAACGCCATTAACAACAGTAATTAAAGCAGGTGTAATAATAGCTTTGAAAAATATCCTATCCACTTCCTCCGACTGCAGTTAACATTTGTAATTAAGCGGCGCGGATAGCACAATAGATCCCCATTAAACGAATCGTCCGTATGCTTCCCCTGGGCATCGTTTCCCACAAAGCGTACTCGTCCGTTTTAAAAATAAACCCGACTATTTAGAGATTGCCTTTGGTGACATAACTTGACTGATATTCGATGTCAAAAAAATCTAATTTAAGTTTTTGTGCAATATTAAATGGTGAAAAGAAGATAACGCGAGGAAATCTAGATGTATATGTGAATATCACCCCCTCAACTTATTGTAAGAACACGCACCCATGTAAGCAATTTATATCTAAAATAATTTGTAAGCAACATGGATTGAGGTGCATATGTGAGAGTTTAACAGTTGCTAGCTAGTTAAACGTAGCTTAAAACATTCGCAGCTCTTCTTTTGTCTGAAATAAGTAGTTAAAGAAATTTCGAAGACATTTAATAAGTCCCTGGGGTTAATATGATACCGTGTGGTGATGGCGTCTGAGATACGTCACTACTGTTTTCCGTGAGAATTATAAACGGTGACTATATAAAATGCCAGTGAAATGTCATGGATACCGACAGATGGGTGTATAAAGTTTAAAGTTACAGCCTCTATACTATATACTGCTGGGCACAGGCCTCTTCTTACTTCTGAGTTGTTTTTAGGGCAAGGAAGTGTCCACCGCGCTGTCTCAATGCGTGTTTGCGGACTTCACATGTCTTCGAAATGTTTTTTTTTTTCGGTGACATCAGGTTTCCTGGCTATGTTTACCTTCACCGCCGAGCACGTGGGAAATAAGCATCTTAATATTTCAATTAACCGACGTTTGCCAATTGCCGACGGAGATCGAACCCGACTTCTGAGCTTTCACGGTTGAGCCGGTGGCTGTATAGCCATGTCGTAATTTTATATGCCAAATGTAAAATAAACTGGCATCGTGTAGAAGCGTCAAAAATCAGAGACATCTGGTACTATCATCACTATAATCGGCCAGACAAGAGAGGAGCTTTCGCCGAATTAGGCGGGATAACAATGAGAGGGCCTTTGCCTATATCCAGTCACGGACTGTTGTGGGCTGGTGTAGGCTAATACTACTAAATAATTTTTTTGAAAAAGGTTCACTGAGCGTAACCTTAAATTATATGGATTGGTAATTGGATTGGTGGTATAATGAATGGACAATGAAAGCAGACTTATTTGTCCTTTTGATTTTATATCTGGTCATAGAAAACAGGCTATCTTGCATGGTAGGTATAAAATGATATGCTTTACGATTTACGGCGAAATAAAAGCACGATCTAAACATAAAGTTTTTGATAAATTTTGCCAGTAAATAAGAAGAGCGAGCCCGACAGATGACGTTCTTCCTTTTCAAGTAGAAGCTGTGATTAGTTACATTCTGGACTTTTTACAAAGTAAATATAAAATTAATTGAAAACTCGACTACAGGTACAGATTTTTTTTGGTACCGAATATGTTCATTTACTTTTTTGACCAGCCTATATAATATATTGAATAATATTTTTAAATAAATGTTGTTGGTATTCATTTACGTTGCATCGATCAATTTAATATACTAAGCTAATTATAATATGTTGAATTAGCTATTAATGTCTCTAGAAGCTATATCTACTTGGTAGTACATTCGCTCGAGATAGAAGTAGGTTAATCTGCGGTATAGCGTCACCTATAAACTGCCATTCACTCACTTAATGAAGAAATACGTTTAATGCTTTCACTCCGTACATTTTGCGTTCAATCGTCGATCCAATATTCACTCCGAGATTGCCTTTGTTTGTTAGTCAATCACAGTGTAATTGTTATTATCGGTTTTGGCGTTAACATAGAAATCTACTTTGACTAAGTTAATTTGCATTTCCATAAGATAATTTATTCTCTTAAGCGCTTAACGTATTGACTACTGCTGTGCTGGAATATATGATTTTAGTAAGCTATAATATTTGTGGTTAATAAAAAGTTAAAACTGGTGTTTTTCGTTCACCAACTCGTTTGCAGTGAGGGAGTCAAAAAATAAATTCTTCAAGTTTTAAATACCCGTTCACCAGTTCTTCGTCTTCCTTACCTTCTTTTTTTAAAGTTGCTTGTTTTACAATCAAGAATTATAAGCTTTAATGTTAGTGAAAAGGAAATATGATTTTTATTGAACTTTTTTCTATTGTAGTAGTAGTCCATGCTTTATTACGCCAAATTAAAAAGTTTTATCGTGAGCTGAGGAAAGGATTGTGTGTTACACAGTCATAAAAATTTAGTTTCCTTTGTTTACGATAACTTTAACCAGTTTAATAGTTCAACAACACAAATATGTTAACTATTGTAATTAGTAAATTTAATTGCAAAAGAAACAATTAAACGGTCATCATATGTCGCTCAGATCTCCGCCTGCATTGTTTTTCTTTCTAGGAAAATTTTGTGGAGTTGAGCATGAAAAAGCGTGCCGTGTAGTCTAAATCCGTGTTTGCAGACACGCCCTCAAAGTTTTAATCACACTCAGGTTTCTCCAGAATGTTTACCTTCAACGCCGCACATACTTTATATTTTTATAGATATAAACTACCGTGCGGTACTGAGGGTAACTGACCAGTAGATGGGAGAGCACCGTCTTCCTGATAACAACTAAACTATAAACTACTAACCTGTCAGTCAAGCGTAGCAACTTCATAGCAGTGTTGCCAACTGCACCGTAATTACGGTAAAAACACCGTAATCAGCATAGATCTACCACCTACCGTAGGATTATAATTACGGTAGCAAAATACACCGTAATACCCAATGAAGATCGTATCTAAATATGATTATCTATAAACTAAAATAATTTTAGCGAGTTTGATTGTTTACTTTCTTTACGTTACAGTATTTTCCTTTTATTCTACCGACAACACTGTTTTATGCGTCGGGAAATCCCCCAATAGCGTGGTACCAGCTTGGAGATATTATGCGAACGAATTCGGGGGGTGCTGTATGTATTTGAATTTCAATGAATACTTAGAGCTTTTTAATTTTCCTAGTTTATTTGTATCATAAACGAGATACGACTAACATTTCATTAATACTTAAAATTACGTAAGAGTTTGTTGTGTTGTGTTGTGTTGTGTGTGATCTGAGTGTTTAAAAATATGGAGAGTGATGGCGACAGCGCTACTGATCGAGAAGATAGCTTAACACGAGTATCGGCTAAGAGAAAGCGTTATAAGCAGAAGTTTCGGGAAGAATGGTTGCTGAATAAAGAATATAGTGACTGGCTAAGAAAGGATAATAGGGACTTATCGAAGGCGGTCTGCAATGTTTGCAATACATCTTTCAGTGCCGAAATAAGTGTAATAAAACGCCACAAAGAAGGAACTAAACACGTGAATAATTTAAAGAGGTGTAGTGCTTCAACGTCCAAAAAACAACAGTCTATAGTAAGCGTTTTTAAATCCATGCCAACTAATGAAAAGCAATTGGTAAAGACTTCAGAAATAAAATTAGCTGCTTTTGTTGCTGAGCATAAGGTATCTCATAATGTCATGAATCACTTAGCAGATTTGTTACCAAAGTTGTTCCCAGATTCTCAGATAGCCAAAGATATTAGATTAAAAAGAACTAAAGTTCAAGCTGTGATAAATAACTGTATTGGGGAAACTGAAAAAGAAAACTTGATCAGTGACTTGAAATCACAAATGTTTTCAATTTTGATAGACGAAAGCACAGATATTGCTGTAGTAAAAACAGTAGCTGTAGTGGTCAGGTATTTTGATCCAATGATTGGTAAAGTTATCACTCGGTTTTGGAATTTGATTCAATTATTTGATGAGAAAACCACCGATCATGTTGCAAATGCCGAAAAACTTTTTGATACTGTTATAGGTTCATTTCAAAAGTATGAGATTCCTACGGAAAACATCATAGGTTTCGGCTCTGATGGATGCAACACAATGATGGGATGTAACAATTCAGTTTCAAGTCGATTTCGTCAACGTTGTCCAGGCATAATTGTGATCAAATGCATTTGCCATTCTCTGCATCTTTGCGCTAGTGACGCATGTAAAGAGCTTCCACTAAATTGTGAAAAAATGGCGCGAAATATTTATAATTATTTTAAATCCAGTAGTAAAAGGCAGAGTGAGTTGAAAGAGTTCCAGTATTTTGCTGAGGCGGATGTGCACAAAATTCTAAGACCAGCCCAGACTAGATGGTTGTCTTTAAATGCAGTAGTGCAAAGGATTCTGGAACAATGGGATGTATTACGTCTTTATTTCAATAGCAAATGGCTGGAAGAATCGGAGTGCCACGATATTCATGCATGCCTGAATGATCCCATAATCAAGGCTTATTACTATTTTTTGGCTTGGATGTTGCCAAAATTTACAACATTAAATAGCTGTTTTCAGAGCGAATCTATTTTAATTACGAAACTACATGGGAAAATGACAGCTTTTTATAAAGAACTGTTACTATTGGTTTTACACAGAAATTATGTAAATTCCGCTCCTATTGAAACTATAGATCCAATGACAGAAATAAATCACAAGGACCTAAAAGACATATATCTAGGTTTAGGTGTCCAGAAAGAACTAGATTCTGTTGAAAATGAAGAAAGAAAGTTAACTCTCAGAAAGATGTGTAAAAATTTTATTATTAGAGCTTGTGTGGGCCTTCGTAAACGATACTGTTTTAATGACAAAATTATGACAGAAATAGCAAAATTTGATCTAGAGAAAGTAATTTCTGATGACAGGGAAGAGTCAGTTTCGTCGTTATTTCCATTACTGCCCAGAATTGCCCCAACTTCAATCCAACATCAACAAGAACTAGATGATGAGTGGCGGAAGTTGCCGTTATACTACAAAGATTTGGATTTAAGTCAACCCCCCTGACGTATTTTGGCACCAGGTAAGTTTCCATGTAAACTCGAAGCAACGTGAATTCATATTGGTTTCTATTGTTATAGCAGCCTAATCATTTTTTTTTTCAGGTCGCAGAACTGCGTGACCAACATCGAGAAGGGAATACCTATTTCCAACACTTGCCAAAATTTATGTTGGCCATTTTGTCTCTGCCACACTCGAATGCTGAGTGCGAAAGAGTCTTCAGCAGAGTTAACGATATAAAAACAAAAAAACGGAATAAACTCCTAACGAAATCCATCAAGGGAAATCTCTTATCGCAGCAAGCCATACAGCGTCACGGAAAAAACTGTGTTGATTTTAATCCCACTCACGCTATGATCGCAAAACATAACAATGATATGTATAAAAATATTGAAACAATTATACTGTCCGATTCTGATTAAAAATATGTTTTTTTTTTTAACTCTGACCCATAACATGCTACTAAATAAACAAGGTAATTCTACCGTATTTCAAATATATATTACAACATAATTTCGAAAATTCTACCGTATTTTTAGAAGAATTCTACCGTCCGCTAGATTTCAGACTTGGCAACACTGCTTCATAGTCACTTAGCGGTCAGCCTCCGTAGAGTCTACATCACCTGAAGATGCCTCGTGTAGAGGCGAAACACGTGTCGTATTATCGTCGATGGTGTGTCTTTCCTAGAATAGTGGTGTTGGGGGTAGTGGTGCTGGGATTAGTGGTGACGGGATTAGTGCACGCAATTGAGGGAGGGTGGGAGGTGCTCTCCAAACTAGGTAAGACACATCATTTTATTTTTTTGAGCGGATGGTTGCAAAATAAATATTAACATCCTTAACTTTATAGTTGTCATCAACTATCCCAAGTGAAGTGAAGTTACGTTTTATTACCCATCGCTAATAAAACGTAACTTCGTAAAGTAAGTGATTTACAAGGATATTATTTTAATAAACTTTTAAATCACTTTCAATTTATACTTTACTTTCATATCGATTTTGCTTTTTAGCTGTTAATGCAAAATTATATAAAGCTTTCATTTTAATGCATATAAAAACAACAGTGTTCCTCGCAACGTTAAAAAGGAATGTTATTTCATGATAGGAAATACAGAAAAGTCTAGCAAGTGAAAGACACGTTCCGTGGCTCAAATGATTTCCGATTGCGTTTTCCTCCGACAAGCGCCCTCGATAATAAAACCCAACCGAATCAGAACAAATCTGTATCAATTAATATGTACATTTACATAGCGTTCATGACGATGTCCTTTTTATAAATGTATGTATCGCTGTATTACACAGATCAATTTAAAATCAATATAAAACTCTCAACACAAAAGTTGCATCTATATATATATATATATATATATATATATATATATATATATATATATATATAACATAAGTTTATTTGTAATTTATTTAGAATTTAAATAAACTGAATAAAATAAATAGTTTAGAAAATCCAAAAGTACACGGCTTATACGCGTTTCAATTTTTTTAATCAAATTTAATTTAATTTTGATGAAAAAATAAATATGAGTCTGATAACAACCAATAGGATTAGGATCTGATAGCAATAGGCATCATCCTGAGGATGAATGGAAACTTATTCAGAAAGATTTATTTCATTTCGTTGCATACAGTCTTCTGAAACGCGAAGAAAAGCAAATGCACAGACTGACAGCCGAACCAATAATTTTTTACCTACATTTTTTGTAAATATAACTAAACAAAAACGAATTCCAAAAATACCCTGATTTTATAATTTAATATATTATCTAGTTTTTAAAACATACCTTTTTTATTGAGTTAGTGTCTAAATTGAATTATTTTTTAATTCCCGACGTCACGCGGAGGACTGAGGTGTGTTAACGTCCCGAGGTCATAGCCCAGGCTATCTTCAGCTTTTAAATATTAATTAACTATAATAACAAACAAATTAAAAGCTAATTTGGATTAATTTAAGAGAGATAGCAGTAATGAAATTGCTGGAAAGCCTTTTGTTTCAAATCCATCCGCCGAGCGAGCTGAAGAGCTATCGGCACGAGTGTTGTGAAATTGCGTGCAGCCGCGTCAAGCTGTCGGTATTAGCTCTAGAGATCGATGATTGCTTATTGTCGTACATAATGACCAATCAGAACTCACTGATCCACACTAAGGTGTAAAGTGACGGTAATGAAACAATCAATGCGTGTCAGCTTACAATTTTGATTGTTCATTTCTTAATGGTTTATTACTTAATATTATAAGTATAATATAAATTCAGTAATGCTTAATGCCTTGGGTTTGATCGTCACAGTAGTAGATCCACGTGTTCATAAATTGTAGTCTACTGGTCTTCTGATTTGAGAAATGTGTAAGTAGGTTGTAATTGTAATGACATTATACATATTACATATTCCGACGGATAATTATCTATATAATAGGCAACAAAGAAATGGATCCGGCGATTTTTCCGGACCGACACGACTTAGGGACCTTCAAGAAAAAAGCTTACTCCTTTCTTAAAGGCCCCTACCTGCAACTCCCTTGTTGTTGCGGTGGTTCATGGGCGGCGGTAGTCACTTACCATCACATTAAGCCGCTCGTTTACCCCCTCTTCTATTAAAGAAAATAGAGCCTATAATATAATAGCCTGGTGTCCGATGTTGAGAAACGAGAGGGATAAATTCAGTCAAGCAATTCCTAGGCACAACATATAATAATAAAGGATTAACATATTCAAAACACCAGACTACTAGGCTTTACGAGTCCCTTTTTGGTTCCGTCTGAGAGTCCGTCTCGTTAGGGCCCACCCCTAAACCTATTTCTGGCCCCGAAGCAGTAGTCCATCATCCACTGCTGTGTCACAGTTTCAAGGCTATGGCGCGCCAGTATTTTACGGCAAGTGACTCATTCCACCTCAAGAAGCGACAACTCACGTTTAGCCTTCTTTATTTAAGTTTCTTGCAGGTACATGCTGGAAGAGCCACGCACAATCAAGTGGAATTTAAGCTTGTGTTACACTTTAAAGTTAGTGAAGAAAAATCAGATTTTTATAAGCCCCTTTTTTATTGCGGTACGCGTATATAATATGCCTATGGAAAAAAATTGGCGGAAGAAGACATAGTTTTTAATAATATAGCTAAAGGTATCCATTTTGTAAGTTAATAGTATCTACTATTCAACTCAACTTCTACTGAAGATTGAGATGTAAAACGACCAGAATTCAAATTGTTAGACATTCAGTGTATTTTATTCAGCTCACGAAGGTCTCCATCACCGTAAATTCTTCGCTTCTCCTCCTTTATACGAATTTCGCCCCATTTCCCATAAATGGCATCATTAAAAAGCTAAGACCGGCTCGGAAATGGATCTACTTAAATATACTTTGCACGAATGCGCAAATTGATATAAAATACTTTGCTTCTTGATATCCGACTTTGGTGCCAAGTTAGTGGATGCCAGAAAGAAATATTTTTGCTTCTTTGAAAAGTTATCAGAAGTTTTTATTTGTAGATATATTTTGGTGCAACTTATGTCCCTTACGCTGGAAGTAAATATCAACTTAGTTAAAACTTGAGATGTTCCGAATTTAGACCGTTACTAAATTTGTTCTAGTCTTGTAACTTCCGTCAAGTCGAATAGAAATTTACAAGTAAACGAAGCGTAAGTGATTAAAAAGTACCTAATGTTACTGCATTTTATTAAAGCAATACTTAAAAATTTGTTTTTTCTTGCCTATTTCTGCTGTAAGGTAGGTCTGCAGGTCTGCACTGCTGTTTTCCGATTCGAAGGTTGAAGAGAGCCCGCATAGTTACAGGTTGTGAGGTCAAGACGTGAAGTTGTTGGCAGCTAGTTATGTGCTGCAATAGTCGTATACCATCAGGTGGACTTCTGTAATTTCGTTTTGGTAAAAAATTTGTAGTTTTAAAGTAAAGTAAATAATTATAAAGATCTACATGATAGCGATATAAGAGCGTTAATGTAAACGAATTTGTACCACGAGTTTCTTAAAAGCACTTGAGATATATTTCATTCATATAATCCTTTTATGCAAACACCTTTAAATAGAGATTTTACCATTTTCTACCATTGAACCCTGCACATGAGATTTAATGTATTATTAAAAAACTACATCTATATTTTAATTTTTAACGGTGCTCACACACGAACGTGAGAATGAAATGTATACATTATCCGAATTAAGATCTTAGCTCAATCGCTTAATCAATTAATTCCTTTTCGAAGTTTGCTAAAATACTAGAAACATGATTGACAAAAGTTTGAATAACGAGTCGGTAATTGAAATATGTGAGTAATTAAATATAAATGGATTATATTACCAAGTTTTAATTTTTTATTAAACAACGACTATCTGAAACGGTTATTTATAATAAAAATGAATACATGCTTGAAAATAACTACAAATTGAAAATAAGTTAATTCGTTCGTTGGTATGTGAAATCGAGACTCATCCAACGGTGGGTTTAGGAACAAATAAGAAAAGCCATTAAACTCCACTTCCTCTGGGCTCACTTATTTATGAACAAAAAAATTATTATGTATTCATGACAATTAAGTTATTCTGTAATGAAATTTACACATATAACCTATAGAAGTTATCGCCCTTTTCTACTTACTTAAAACTATTGTTTTTAAAAATCATCATAATAACATTATGATTGTCTCATGCCTGATTACAATTAGGCGAAAATCTCCCACTTATGCAAGTTATCAACTTGTAATATTTATTACAGTACCTCAAGGGTAGTGTACACTCAAACAAAGTTTGTCTTGTTATAATAGGATCCCTGACCGATGGGCGTGTTGTTACCGCGTAGGAGAATGCACTTTACCTCATATATTCCTGTATATAAACATGAAGTAACAAACACTTACAGTCAATCAATGTTTTATGTGGCTGCTGTAGCCAATGGACACTTGCTGCCAACTTCTAACCAAAAAGGCTGCGTTGTCACCCGTCAGTTCTAAGATGGAATACCTCACAGCCCATACTTA